CTTCGGTGAGCGAGGTGGGGTAGAGGGCTCGTCAGGTACGTCCTCGCTCTCGGGTTCAGGTTCAGAGTTGTCAGCGGTGGACTCGGGCTTGTCATTGCCCAACACTCCCTCCCCCTCAAGCTCGACTCCATCGTCTTCGTAGACAATGGTTGGCTCGTCCGCACTGAAACGGATGTTGTGCTCGACGGTCACCCCTGTTGCCGCCGGCCAATACACGCAATGGCCTTTGCTTTGCGCGTCGAAACCAACCCAGCGAGCTTCCTTCGCTCGCACACCGATCTTCCCGGTCAACGTGTCATGGACCCAGACCTTGGTACCCCATATCGGCAGACCAGCAAGTCCAGGGGCGCGCCCGGACACAGCCTCGAAAGGAGTTATTCCATTGAGCGCCTTTGTCGAGGTACGGTTCTTCAACCATGTCGCATGCAGCACTGCCTCACCCCACAGAGATTTCGGCAGCCCGGACTGAAGGAGCAAGGCGCGTGTCTTCTCCATCAACGTACAGTTCAGGTGCTCGGCGACACCAGCTTCCTCATGCGTGTCATGCACGGAGAGCTTCGCCTCGATGCCGCGAGCTTGCAGGTGAGCCTTGAACTCGTCACTGAGGTACTCACCACCACAATCAGTGTTCAAGTACTTGATGCGCTGATGAGCCCTTAGCTCACCTACCCACCAAAAACACCATTTACGGTCGATACGACGGTACACTAAGTCAGAACGGTTGACGCACTGTCCGTCCGTTCGAGGGAACCGCCCGATGTTCGAAGCTCAAGCGTCAATGTTCCGAACCCTTAGTGACAGAGGCAAGTGGTTTAGAAGTGTCGCTACATTGGTAGGACTCCGGAGCAAGTACATGGCTACATCAACCTAGCTAGTGACGACCCCGGCAACTCTCGTATCTATGTCCTCGACCACCACACCCGTGACCACCACCCCTACCCCTACGAACAGACGGACCGGTGTCGGAGCCATGGTCAGTGTTGACGCGCTCGAGCAGGCTTTCGAGCAACCCGACGAGGGTGCCGTGTGTGCGGCGCTGGTCGACTGCGATGTTGTGAATCGCTCGACCCATGGACTCGAGGTTGTCGGGCAGCTGGCAGAAGTCGGACAGGATCAACGTCTCGCGCTGATACTGCGGGTTCGCGAGAGGACGACGCTCGGCCTGGTTGACTTGTTCGAGCAGCACCAAGGTCTCCGACCAGGCGATCGTAGGGTAGGGCGAACCTAGGATATCTCCCTGAATGCCGTCGCGGTGGAAGACCTCGTCGAGGTAACGCATCAACTTGTCAATCTCGGGGAACGACCTAGGAGCAGGAAGTGTATCGTTCGCCAGCATGATGGCCTGGCTGCGGGACTCGAACAAGAATCGCTGTTCGAAGGTCGGTTCGATGGTTCGAAGGACAGTCAAAGTTCGGAGGCACGTACGATCATCCAACGGACTCCGTGGGCCCAAGCCAGCCACTCTCCGGGACTGTTGGCATCGTATCGCGGCTCGACAAGTCCCTCGGTCTTGAGGACCTCAAGGAGGCGATAGTACCGGGCAGCATACACTTCGGAAGTTGGGTCGAGGTGCGGCATGTTCGTGTAAGTCAGGCGAACTCCTGCAGCTGTCTCATATCTTCGAGGACTGTCACCAGCTCCGGTTATGACCTTCGCCGTTCGGGGACGGTCGCCCGTTATGCGGAACCTGCGGAAGGCCGAGTTGGATTCTCTCATGTGTTAGTAGGTCCGGGTCGAGCGTTGTGACATTCTCCGATTGGCTGCTTTCCTTATCACTTTCATTCATCATTTCTTGTATTTCTCTTGGCTCTCTTGGTCTTCGGACCGTATTTTCCTGTATATACTCTGGGACTTGTTCCCTTCGAATCTCAGAGACCCCCTTACCCTCTCAATCTCACCTCGCGCCGGCGAGGTTCGTCAGCCAGTCAGTACGTTCGAAAGTCAGCAAGTTCGCCAGTCAGCCAGTACGTTCAAAACCAGTCAGTCAGTCAGTCAGTTCGCCAGTACGTTCGCCAGCTCGTAGTTGCCCCGAGAGGCTCTACCCTTCTCCTCCTGCCGTCGCTCGCCTTCCTTGTCACCGTTCGTTCGACATGTCTGTTGAAAGCTTCCCTCCTACCTTCGAGGCTTAGCCCTCTTCTTTGAACAGTCTTCGACATCTTCGAAGCTCTCCCACGTTGTTCGGAGTCTTGTCCGTCCTCCTCCTTCTTACCTAGACCACTGTACAGTCCCCCGTACATCTCATAGACACAGAGGCCTCGCATACCACTGCTCGACCTCCCGGTTGGGTTTTTGTGTGGCTTTTGTGTTCTTTTCGGTCGCGTCAGCGCTTGCCGTGGTGGTTCTCGAGCCATGCCTCGAAAGCCTTGAACACTTCGAAGGTTTCGCTCTTCAGTCGCAACAGGTAAATTGCAGAGAACCGGGTCTTATCGTCGGTGAAACTGATGTAGTATTTCTGTCCACCCATCGTAATGATGTGTGCAGCACCCCAGAGGTCCGAATGGATCTCCTCGCCTATCTCGTCAGCACGCTCCCCCTGGTGCACCTCCAGAGCAGGTTTCCGCATCGATTTGGCATGGATACAGACATCACATGCCTCGGGCTCGTCAGACGGCACCAGCACAATACCGGTAATACATCTGCCAGAGACGAGCTTGCGTATAGCCCGTAGCGCGATATGCCCAAGGTGGCGGTGAAGCTCCATAACGGTAAGCTTCTCGACTCGTGTAGCGGTGTTGGCTGATCCATCCATGTGATTGTGTGACACAAGGTACAGGCCCTCGGACTTGGGAACAGTTCTGATGACCTTCCCGTCCTTGTTGGCGATCGTGAGCTTGCCACCCGTGAATGTCAACGTGAACCCAGCATTGTCAATTTGGCCAATCGAGATGAGTGTGAAACCCAATGAAGGTGTGTACAGCACCTTCGTCAAATGGATCTGTGAGGCAGGGGCTGACCCAATCAGTACTGATACAATCATCTCCCCCATTCCCATGGCCTGGAAAGGCTGCTGGTTGGCGGCTTTCAGCGACTTAGGCGGCATGTCAATGAAGGTGGCAAAGTTATCGCGATACGGGGACATGTGATGTGTCGCACCAGAGTTGTAGACATCAACAGGAGTTGATTGGGCTGTGGCAACAGCAGCGGCAGTAGCAGGTGCAGATGTATCATACATGCCAGGTTCGTCAACCTGGTCCCTTTCCTGCATTGCAGCTAATTCCTCATTGACGGCTCGATGCCACATCCCCAATGTCATAACATCGGGCTCATCCTGTTACGGATAGATAACCCATTATCTGTCCATTAGATTAGATTATGAACTGATAGTGTACATCTCATCTTATCTCAATGTACCTAGCCACCTGACATCCATTTTGGGAAGTAATCTACTCTTCTACCTGAACTACCACCTTGTCCGAGTGCGAACTCTTCGCGCCGTCCGAGTTAGTTCGCTTGTCCTCGGCTAGGCTCGTCGCCCCGCCTAGGAACTCCCCTCGGCTTAGGCTCGTCGCCTTCGCTCAGGACTCCCCCTCGACCTGGCCCAATAGCTGGTCTAGGACTCCCCTCTCGGCCCAGCTTGTCGCTGGCAACCGAGGACCTCTCTGCGCTCCCTCATAGCTCGGCTCGTCGCCCTGCTAACGACTATAGCAGGCACTCCTCGCCCTGCTCACGACCTCAAGATCCCCATTTCCCACTGGTCGTGTCGCGACCACCAACCATTAGGTTCACGAGGCAGCCCGGCCCCTGAATCTAGGGTTCCGAGCCCACGAGCCCTAACACATCTGCTGTCACCGATACATTGTCCAACCATGCTGTGACGGCATTCAGTCAAGCCGCGACGGGCACAGGTTCAGGAGCAGGGGCATCATCTGTGTCCTTCTCTGACGTCGAGGCAGTATTGGTTGAATCGGATACAGTCTGGAGGGATGGCATAGAGTTGGCAGATCCTGAGATCTTGGTAAGTCCTGTGCAGTCCGAGCGAGCGTCTTCTTTGAACAGATCCAACAGCGAGTCTTCCAAGTTCGACGTGTTGCCAGCGGGCTTGCTGTCATCCAAAGGAAACACGGACCACGCACCTGCCAGCTCATCGAGCATAGCGGACCTGAATACAGCAGTTCGTAAATCGTGAATGGTAAAGGGGACCCGAGGCCTGAGGCCTCAGCTACAGATCCTGACTCTGTCTATTATTCGGATACCGCCTTGTGTCGTAACAAGGCGGCCGAGCCGTGGGAAGCGTGTAGCTCCATGCATATTCCCACGCCACTGCGCTACAGGCCAGGTAGTATGTCCGTAGCAAGATGTAGATCGCAGAGCTAGAGCAAACGTGTTGTAAAGGTAGGACTCACGGTGTTGCCAATATATCCGCTTAGGCGACCCTCGATCAGCGATCAACCGTGCGCAAGAAGCTTGTCTGATGGAGGAAAGCACAAAGTCACAGACCCCAGAGAGAATTGGCAAGTAGATGAGGACGGTGAGAGGTAGGATTGTTTTGAGGAGTCAGACAGGTAGGAGATGGAAGCTGAGAAGACGAAGAGTCGCAGCCGCACTGTGGGAACACTAGGTCCCGCGGACACGCACGTCAAAGACCGTTATGTAACGGAAGGTCAATTGAGTAAGGGGATCGGCGTACAGGTGCGCACGTCTTGCGCGGTCTTTTCCACCTTCTCCTCCAGTCTTCAGATACCGTGCGTATGTCCTTCCATCCTCTGAATAATTGACGACTGATGTGAATTAATTATTGCAGGTCATGGGAAAGAGATGCCGCACCTTGGAAGACGTGCTCTCGACAACATGCTCGGCGTGTAATGAAGGGTTCGATACAATGCAGGGCCTCGCCGCACACCAATCCATGAGCCGTAGATGCGCATGGTACAAGAAGGGGAAATTAAAGGCGGTATTCGACTGTGGGGATATTGAATATTCCGATTCCGACGATGAAGGCCCTCGGGATGCTAATAGACTAGGACGGTGAGTGTTCTGAATTTCCAACAGTGACATATGTAATGTACTTCTACAGGTCGTCCAGCCATGTTGACCCAGACGACAGAGGCGAAGGTGGAAGCCGATTAACTACAAGCGCAGACGTCAACCTTCGTAGCAGCCCTGTCAACTCCCCAGCATCTTCAGATGAAGACCCTGAGGACTTCTCCGACATCGGGTCCGTCTATGACTTTGTAGAGGTCTCTGCACAGAGAACTGAAGGCGACCAAAACACTGCCGGCACGTCTTCGAGTCATTCCAGACGAAACACGATCAACTTGGACGACGATGAAGACATGAGGGTTGAAGATGTCGACTTGAATGCTGCCACGGTTATTCAAACCGACGAGGCCGTACATAGGAGCTGGCAGGAGCAGTGGGAGAAGGAGAGGGAGGTACAGTCACCAGGTAAGCCGCTTTACACAGTACTACAGTTTCGTAAGTTACTGAACAGTGAGAATTCATTGCACAGACAAAGACCCCAGTGAAGATATTGAAGAAACCGCAAACCCGTGGGCGTTGTTCCAGTCCGAGATGGACTGGAGATTCGCGTCATGGGCCGTTCAGGAGGGCCTGAGCCAAGGCTCTGTAGACCGAGTCTTGGAGATTCCTGGGGTGAGTTGACTTGCGTTACAGACTGGTTGGATTGTGTGTAGTACTAACTACTATTGCGACTATGTGCGGCCAACGTACCCTAGTTTCAGGAAAGACTAGGTCTGTCCTATCACAACTCACGCTCCCTGCTTCAGCGAGTGGATTCGCTTCCAGAGTGTGCCGAATGGAAGGAGCGTTGGCTGAGCTTCAAGGACCGACCAAACAAGCGCCACCTAGTCCAGTTTCGAGACATCATCGAAGCCATTAGGACTTTGTTGGGCAACCCGGCGCATGCAGGTCAGATCGTCTATGGTCCGCGTCGCATCTTCAGCGACGCATCGTGAACCAGTCACATCTACCATGAGATGTGGACCGGACGCTGGTGGCACGCTGTGCAGGTGAGTGTTGTCTAAGGAAGGACAGGGGTATCGGGTACACCCGCGGTAACACACCCGGGGGTACCCCGGGTGAGGGTTCAGTGTCGCATTTCGAGCCACCGAGCCATACCGCACACCGAATCCGCGGTGTCACGGTGTGTACGTACCCGTAGATCCGTGCCGGGTTACAGTGTAATGTACTGTTCAAAAGTCGCACAGGCAAAGAACAATGATATAAGGACACACATTCACACTCCGAGACATACATCATTCATCATATCTACACATAGCAACTGCTCACCGTCTTCAGGGATGGCATGTCCGAGTCCGAGTCCGAATATCTACGTGGCATGGGATTGATCTCGCGGTCGCAGTCAAATCCTCCCTCTACTACTACCATGGATGTACCCGTAAGATGGGAACAATCATCGCGGTGCATATCATTCACGCCGACACAGCCCTTGTGCTGTCACATCATTGCCATGGTGAGTGCAGTTAGTTTCTAAGAATGAAATGTATCGACTTACGGCAGGTTCATCACTCGGTTTGAGTCTCAGAGCATCCTCGGCCACAGCTACGAGGTATTGCGCAAGTGGGAGCATGTCGGGCCAGTCGATGTCTTGCTCCATATCCACCGTTAGTGTTTGAAAGTCCAGTCCATGGACTGGAAAAAGACTGGGACTGAACTGGGACTGGCCTTAGAAAGACTGGACTGGACTGGTCAAAGTAGGACTGGTCCTACCCAGTCCAGTTGCAGTCTTCCAGGGTTGGGTAAATTGGAGGGACTGGTCAAAAGACTGGTTGCAACCAGTTGCGACTGGTCTTTGGCCACCCCCCTAATATGCTGGTGTACATGGCCTAATGGGATGTTTTTGGGGTCATAAATAGCAGTAATACATAGGATAGGCACCAGATGGTGGACATATGGATGATGTGGCCTATTTAGGCAACATGTATCATCTGTCTATGCACCTCCACCTATGCCTAATATGGTAGGTATACCTGTCTCACCCTTACTGACATCATATGCCTTGCCTATATCAGTCATTATGGACTGAACTGTGATGCTCCCATGGGATACACACCATTGCCTGCGGTCATATACCATATCACAGTAGCTTAAGTCACTTTGTCAGACACAATTGCTTGAAAAACCCAGTTGCAACTGGCAAAAGACCAGTCAGGACCAGTTGGGACCAGTTGGGACTGCATGTGCAGTTGCAACCAGTTGCAACCAGTCTTTGGAGGCAACTGGACTGCAAAGGACTGGTCGCAGTCAGTCCAGTCCCAGTCCTACCATTTTGGGGTCAATCTAGGACCAGTCCCAGTCCCAGTCTTTCCTCCAAGGGGTCAAAAGACTGGACTGGACTGGACTTTCAAACACTATCCACCGTGTCTACCGCTCGGCAGAGATCGCGCATGATTACTGCATGTTGTGAGCGTGGGATGGACGACTCATGCAAGCATACAGCGATGAGCGCGATCGCCACATCAAGCGGCCCCGACAGATGAGCCGGTGGTACGTGCTCTGTACGCCAATCACGGTGCTCATGCAGACGAGAAATCACCTGTGAAATACGTTGCCATCGCGTCAGAATTCCGCTAGACTTGAGAAGATACTGCGGGACTTACACGCCTCGTGATGCCTGTATCTAACTCGGCATACTGAATGCCCTCGTTGTACCCGTTCACCAGACCGGACTTCTGGGCATGTATGCCCAGGTCTAACGTCCAGAACTTGGCCGGGCCAGTCCTGTTTGTATGACTTCGCGGCACCGGCTGCTCAGGCTGCGATCCTAAAATCGATGGACGTCAGTGACCAGTCAACTTGAATATTCGACCTCGTGACGAAGAACCGAGACGCGGTGCTCGAACAACACAGCGCATGTTAGCGCGCCCCCGCATGAGACAGCGTGACCAAATGCCAGTGTCGGTGAGTCCGCGAGAAGCGCAGAGTCACTCAGAATTGAACATCAGCACGGCGCCGGTCATGCCCCGCCCGACGCTCGCATGCAAGGAGAAGTTGAACATAAAGTATGTAAAGAGCTTACCTCGAGCTCCAAGGCGAGAGAGTGAACAGCCCATATTGCCTGTGTACAACTCGGAGATGGGCGCACTGGCGTGACGGAAGTTGTGGTGTGGGGCCCTGGCCTACTAGCTAGTGCACTGGGACTCGCAGCACATCATCTCAGAGACTTGAGAGTTGATCTAGTCAAGCACGTACCTCATCGGCCCGACTGCCCTTCACCATGTGTAGATCCGACTCGCGCCTGATATCTATGCCACTCCACCAACTTGTTGCGGATCGTGCTTAGCGTTGAGTAGCGATGAGATCACGGCACCATGATTGGCCTGTCAGTGACGAAAAAGGCAAGTGACTCAGTGCATACCTTATCCGCCCGGACCTGAGCTAACGACACACACCTCGTTGATGTGACCATTATGGGGCTAGTGAGTGCACGAGAGGTGATGGTAGTGTGAGTCGGAAGAGTGGACAGCGAGGTGAGTCGCCCGCAGAAGATGGTGGGGATAGAACGTGTGAGCGCAGTTCACCGCCTCGACCGTGACCCTGAGGATGACTCGTGTTTGGACAGGAACGATGGTGTCCAAAGCCGGACACACAGAACGGTCCAGCGCAGCTGACGCCTGACTCACACAGCATATACGCGTCCCCGCTGACTCCTGGGCTGAATGTGCCCGTCCGTACTTGAACTTCAAGTTGCTGCACTGGCATCAACACTGATTCGGGCCTCTTGAGGATATTAAGCGGTATCGGCGAGGTGCGTGGTTTCTCAGTGAATCTGCGCATATTCTCTGAGAATACGCTAGGCCCGAGTCGCCCGACTGCACGGTATCGTTGCGGCGACGCTGCCTGGTGTGTCGCCAGAATGATGTGCCCAGTGTCCTCTAGGTACCCGGTGAAGATGGGGTCGTAACGCCCGGAACATCTTGCGATGCATATGATGGTGCGCCAGTTCACCATCGTTGTCTGACTCCACTATCCCCCATTGGGCTACCTACGACAGATCATCGACAGTGAGCGGCGCACGTACAGGTCGAGAAGTCTATCACGGAGCGATGCTAGCATGGCCTCGTGTCTGGTGAGTTGATATCCCACTGCACTACTGTACTTGGTTGAACATTTTTTCTCAAATGACTCGGCGAGTCGGACAGGGGCCATCATGATGGTGCCCCTTCGTACGCTGACTTGGGTCGATGTTGCTCTACATATTCAATGCTCAGAGGTACGTCTACGAGCTATGCTATTCTGGACTGATTTGCACTGATTTCTGGGGCCATCTCGGGCCGTCTTCTCTGCCGTACATGTCTGTCTGCTGCAAGACTTAAGTAGGCCATCGACGCAACATCAAGAAGAGTACTGGCACACCCCGCCTGCACCTCCTCACTCACGATGCCTGAGAGATTCAAGCGCAAGCTACAACCATCAGACTCGCAGTCCTCCCTCGCCTCCGTCTCCTCCAAGGCCTCAAAGCGACTTGCTGTTGCCAAGGAGAAGCTCAAGTCGACGGCGCGCTCGATCACCAAACCGCTTCGTAAGGCGGCCTCTAGTCTGTCTTGTGCATCGCGTTCTACGCGGAGCACGTCTCTGTTGCCAGCTGTGTCTATTCCATCTATCTCCGTACCTTCGGCGAGCCGGCCAGTCACTCCGGCTTCATCGGATGCAATCGACATGGACGCTCTCTCGTCCGATACTGGCAATGGGAGGGATGATGGTTCGGAGGAGACACCAGAGGACGTACTCGGTTCGTGAAGTTCGTTTTCACGCTGCCAGCAGAACCACTTACATACCTGAGGTAGATCGTGCGCGTGCCAAGTGGCGCTCGCCGATCTACACATTCTTCAAGGTTCACGATGTCCGACACGAGGTCTACAATGGTCGTCTGGTCCATTTCTTCCCTTGTGCAGCACGCAAATGCAAGGGTCCGGTCAAGGGAGTCCGCCGCTATCAGGACTCGAAGGACAAGTCATCTACGTCGAACCTGAAGACACATGCCATTGGCTGCTGGGGTAAGGCGGCTGTTGATGACGCGCTTACCGGGAAGGTCCCTCGCTTGCGAGAGAATGCAATACATGTGGCGTTTGCGAAGGCTTCTGGGCTTACGGTCGATCACTCGGTCCAGTTCTCTCACTGGAATCACAGTAACGCTGAAGTTCGGTATGTACTGTACTCGCTCACCAACGATGACCTGCGATCATGTGCTGAAATTATGCCATGTAGTGCGCATCTTGTCCGCTGGCTCACAGAGAGTGTATGCCCCACGCAGATCGTCGCCGATCGGGAGTTTATTGAGCTCATGTCGACCGGTCGACCCAATATCGAGATACCCTCACCGAAGACAGTCTCGCGCGACATCAAGGCTGCTTTCGCACACTGCCGCGAGTGTATCAAGAAGATCTTGACGGTGAGACTTGATCACACAGTCGCGCCTCGTACACCATATCATACGCTTGACGAATCACTCATTTGCGTCATCAGGACCATCCGGGACGAGTCCACTTCGCTACCGATGCATGGACATCCCCAAATCATCGAGCCTTCGTCGCATGGACTGTCCATTTTGAATTTCAGGGCGCCCCATTATTGTTTCTCCTCGACATTGTCGAAGTGCCGGAGGTCCGTTATGATCCGTTAATTCGAAGCTCACCATATCTTGCTGACTGTACCGTTTGCAAGTCACACACAGGCAACACTCTCGCCAAGGCATTTCACAAGATGTTGATTGACTTTGGGCTCGAAGAGAAGGCGAGTACCATTCTGCTCCGCACATATGACATGCATCAGAGCTGACTTTGCTAAAGATCTTGGCCGTGACCGCAGACAATGCCACGTCAAATGATGTGCAAGTGAGCAAGCTTGCCGAATCAGCGAACACGTTCCGGGAAGACCAGCACGTTCGCTGTTTCAACCACACTTTGAACCTCGTTGTCAAAGCGATCTTGAAGCCTTTCAGCACACCGGAGAAGAAAGAAGGAGCCTCGGAAGAACAAGATGACGATGCCATCATGCCGAAAGTGACGATACAGAAGATGCGGGTAGTATCGACTTCGCAGGTGAAGAAGACGACGACAACAAAACCGTGGCAGATTCAGACATGGAAGAGTCTGACGAGACTGACGACATCGATCCACTGGCTGACCTTGCTGACTCCGCCCGGGAGCAGATATTCGTGCAGACGACTGAAGTGCGGACGACTCTCTCCAAGGTTCGTACTAGCCGTCTGATGTTGCTCACCAACTGACCCAGTGTACAGGTTCGACAGCTAGCCAATGCTGTCATCCGATCTACGACACTTGCATTACCTGCCTGGGCTCGTGCCTGCCAGGCCAAGAACCTCCCTGTGCGTCAGATACCCCGGGATGTCAAGACTCGCTGGAACTCGACATACCATATGCTGAGGTTTGCGTTCGATTATTGCTCTGCGATCGATGCCATTACCGCCGACAAAGCGCTCAAGCTACGTAAGTATGAGCTCGATGACGAGGAGTGGGAGATCATTGGCGAATTGAATAACATACTGAAGGGGAGTAATGTCGTTATTTCTATCATTTGTGTTCGTTCTGAACTGACAGTCGCATACCTTTTAGGAATTCGAGAACACGACACTCTTTTACTCGCAAGACTCGGTCATGACGGTCGCGAATGTCATCTCCAGCATGGACCGAATCGACAACATCCTCTCCCCGAAGGCCGGTGCCCGACAATATCGCCCGGCCATTCAAACAGGTATGCAGCTCGGCAAGAACATCATGAACAAATATTACAGTCGGACCGACTGCTCGGCGGTGTACCGTGTCGCAATGGGTGTGTCACACTTCTTTCTTTGTTGCTTGTGCTTCGTACTAATGGGCCATGCTCACAGTGTTGCACCCTGGATTGAAACTGGAATACTTCAAGCGGAACAACTGGCCTCGCGACTGGATCAACGTGGCAGAGCAGCTAACACGGATGGAATACGAGTTGGCCATTGAGAAATCTGCCAAGGCTTCCGGCCAACCAGAAACCTCGTCGGACGGGCAGAGCAATGTACGTCATGCGGATGGTAAGCTGACGTCTCCGAGTCGCTGACATGACTTTCAGGCAGCTGGCGATGTAGATTCGAGTTTTGGCGGATTCGCGGATGTCTCACTCGGGAACGATACGTCCGAACGTAACGAACTCGATGAGTATCTCGCTCTTGCATGCGAGCGCGTAGACGTGAAGAAGCTGGGTCAATGGTGGTGGGATAACCGGGCCACATATCCTGTGTTGCACCGCGTTGCGCTGGACTTCTTGTCCGCACCAGGTATGTCTGTCACTGCGAACAATGTCCGATCAGGCGTTTACATGTCTTTCAGCGACTTCAACTGCTGTCGAACGTGTCTTCTCGCAGGGCCGTCACTTGTTGCACTTCACGCGCAACCGCATGACTGGCGCAACATTCCGTGCGAATTTGTGTTTGGTATCCTTCATATGCAGGATCTAGTTGATGCTGTTTCTGTTCGTCGTAGACGGTCTGCTGTTGTCTCGGCAGAGACTGGTCATGACATGATAGTTGACTGATACGATTATGCACCAATGTGCGAAGTTTGTATGTTACCCCAATAGACTTATAGAAAGAAGTGTGGCCATGTCTCGTAACTTGTGGCTCTGTTAGGCTGGCGTCTGCTTATGTGTGAATTGTGCCAATTGGACTTGATAATTAGCATCACACCGCGTCGGTAAAGCCGCGGTACTGTGCACCGCGGTGTATCGCATATACTGTCGGTGCTGCGGTGTAGGGTTCGGGTTATACCCGAAAGGGGTAAGGTGTCACAGGTCGCGGGTAAGGTATAGCTACGGGCACCCGCGGTGTAACCCGTGTCCATCCTTAGTGTTGTCTTGTGTTACTTTGAACGTATATGAGTGCGATTGTATTAATGTTGTTCTCAGAGTCTCTTGCCTGACAGAGCTGCTGTTGCGCCCGTCATTATCGCGACAGACAAAACACAACTGACACAGTTCTCTGGGGGAAAGTCAGCCTATCCTGTTTACATGATGCTAGGAAACCTACCACGAGCTCTGCGACGCAAGCCGTCTGAACATGCATGTATCCTCATAGGATACCTCTCTGTTGACAAGATCGATTTGGACGGCATTACGAAACGCAAGCAACGCGCCCTCGTGCAGCAATTGTTCCACACGTCCGTACGCGTCATCTTGGAGCCCCTTGTCGAGGCCGGAAAGCACGGTATCGACGTGACCGGAGGGGACGGTGTGGTGCGCAGGGTGCACCCCATTCTAGCCGCGTACGTGGCAGACTATCCGGAGCAATGCCTTGTTACATGCTCGAAGTACGGTACTTGTCCAAAGTGTCAGCTCCCAGAAGACAAGCTTGAATCTCCCACTCCTGGCACGTCACGAACCTCGTTATGGACCCTGGACGTTCTGCGTCTCGCGACCAAGAACAGCAATGGAAAGAAGGATTCGCCCGCGTACGCTCGTGCTTGCAACGAGCTGAATGTCTGCGGATACGTCGTGCGTCCTTTCTGGCGAGACCTACCATACACGGACATCCATGCCTGTATCACACCAGATGTTCTACACCAACTATACCAAGGCGTTTTCAAGCACATCATCCAGTGGTGTACTGAACTCATTGATGCACAGGAGCTCGATCGTCGCATTCGATGCCTGCCGCCTGCCTTTGGCACTCGCCATTTCAAAAACGGAATTTCGGCGCTTTCTCAGGTCTCTGGCACTGAACGGAAGTACATGGCGCGAATTCTCCTCGGGTGCCTGGTAGGAAAGATCCCCAAGAATGTGATTGTCGCATTTTGCGCCATACTCGACTTCATCTACCTGGCGCAATACCCGACGCACGACGATACAACCCTTCAATACATGGAAGATGCGCTCAAGGTCTTTCACAAAAACAAGGAAGTTCTCGTCAATTGTGGCGTACGAGAACACCTTAATATCCCCAAGTTTCACTCTCTCCTACATTACGTTGAATCAATTCGCCTCCTAGGTAAGTTTCACTCTCTCCTACAATACGTTGAATCAATTGAATCAATTCGCCTCCTAGGTACAACAGACAACTACGATACCGAGGCATTCGAACGCCTTCATATTGATTACGCGAACAATGGCTGGAGAACCTCGAATCATCGAAACGCACAACCGCAAATGGTGATCTGGCTTGCACGCCAGGAAAAGATGGTAATTTTCAGCTCAACAATGCGAAGACAATTGCAGAGGGATGACGATGAAGAAGAAGATGCAGAAGAGTCAGAGACAAGCCCCCCTGTTGAACACACTGGCAAGACGAGCATCAAACTGCCGAAGCATCCAACGGTAGCAATGCAGTCCGTCGATCGCATTGAAGACAGACACAACACACCTGGTTTCAAGAATACGCTCGCACAGTACATCTATATTCTCAAAAACAATCGACGTCTCACTCCCACTCAGCTTCTCACCGCCGTATCTCATATGCCCTTCGATCGGGTAGACGTGTTCCACGGGTTCAAGTTCTCGCCGGAACCCTTGACAGACAGCAAGGAAGAGACTGATGCAGTCAGGGCGCGACCTTCTTTCGGAGAACAACCGGCGCGGTTTGATACAGTCGTAGTATTGAGAGAAGATGATGCCGAGGCTACAGGATTACAAGGTGCGCCTTACTACAGCTTTCTCCAAGATTTCTATTGATGTCTGCTAACAGGAACGAGAATCGGACGCGTTAAAGTCATCTTCAGGCTTCCAAATCGCATTAAAGACCCGCGCACTCGTGTTCCCCTGAACGCCCCTGCGTCATGGGCAGAACAAGGACCACTGGCTTATGTAGAGTGGTTCGCGAAGCTCCCAACCACTCCTGACCCTACGCATATGATGTACACAGTTCATAAATCACCATTGCGTTCGGACAGTAAGCCCATTGCAGATATTATTCCCCTCAGTACTATACGTCAGTCTTGCCAGTTGATACCTACATTTCCAGGTTCTGTAGGTGATAAAGTTGAGCAACTACCTACTGACTGGAACACTCATACTGTACTAGATGTTGCTTCGAAGTTTCTACTTAAGAACTGGGCCAGTTCCTATGCATACCAGACTCTGTGGTAGCTAGTCATACATATAGATCTTGTGTTTAAGACCTCAAAGTGAATTGAAATGCGGCCTTGAAAATTCCGAAGCTTGTGTGACCTCAACTGACTTTTGTGTTGCTGGCTTAAGTGAAAACATCCAGACTAATGTGTCTTAAGCAATGGAAAGTACACCTTACGCGCTCTAGAGCACCTTAAATGCACTTTGGTACATATATAAGGGTGTAAAGCCTCTGAGAGTACGACTGGTTCTTTTAAAGACCGCTTAAGTTACCTAGGTTTTTCCTGATGGCTGTGCCAGCCGGCGCCCCCGTTGTCGTGCCAGCTCATCACGCCTGCCGTCGTGCTCGCTGGCACCCTTGGTCTCGCCCAGTGCCGCCTCCCCGCTGCCGTGTACGTCTCGCCTCTCCGCCTCACCTTCTCTCAGGATTCGATGCCCCGCTGTCCGCGCCGCATCTATCAACCAGCACGGTGCTCGGTCGACAATGTTCCCCGGTAGCTGTTACGCGAAGCTAGGCGAGTGGAACACTACAAGCCACAAGCTTGCAAGGTTACTAACTTAAAGGAAGAGTTCTGTATCTTAGACCTAGGAAGGACGCAAGTCCCTTCGTCCTAGTCGAGTTCCGAAGCGGCAGCGGTATGAGAAAGCTAGCGTCGATTGCTAACCAGGTCGAACTGAAGAGTCCGACCTCTACTGTACAGGTATATATACAAACGAATGAGTCTGAGTCAAGGCGTACAGTAAGCATGAGTCACGATATGTCATCGCTGACGAAGGAATCGGTAATCATGACGAAGAAATGAGTCAGCAGGGTTCAGCTATCACATGACAGTCCGGGTGCGGTATAGTACATAACCGGTCCTCATGCACGTGAGGTGGTTAGAGATAACAAGTAAAAGGAAATGAAAATGTACGTAACATGGCGACTTGTAACATAAGCCCCTTCCTATGGTCGACGTCCGCGTTGACCACTAAGCCTCAGGATTTGTTCGTCTCCACCGTCGTTGCCATCCGCATACATGTTGTTTATGTCGCCGTTGAATCCCAAGGAGAGGGTACTCGACTCGAAGGTTGGTCTTCGACCGAGTGAGACTCCTCGTTGGACTCGACCAGTACCTGAAGAGATCCGACGTGAGGGATACTCGCCGATCGCTGTTGGCGGATTCTGTAGATGGCGGCGTTGGTGTTTCGGCCGCGACGGCAGGTGGTACTTCCGAGGGGGTAAGGAAGGTGCGATTGGGATCATCGCTATTGATACCAACCGAATACCCTACGACTTCCCCATCTGGACCGTAAACGACTTGCAGGATTCGTCGACCGAAGATTTGATCGACGAGTTCTTCTGCATTGTGGACGTAGATGCTCGTGGACCTTCGTCTCGTTGCTGAGCGAGAGCTGGGCTCAGCGTGAAGAACCGTCGGTATTCATGGACGACGATGAAGAAGTCGAGGTGTTGGTGCGGCGAGGCGGTCTGCTTTGGAATATGCTGGAGGTTGGGAGTACCTAGGCGGCGCATCCGCCAGTTCTGCGCGCGTAGGTTCTATATGGAAGTCTTCCTCCGACTGCGACGTAGGAGGCTGCGTGATAGGGGTCGGGGTGGAGGGATTCCTTGAGGTCGACGCAGATGTGCAGGTGGCGTAGGGATACGTATAGGGCGTGCGACGAGATCCGATGGTAGGATTCCGCGAAGTCCTCCGTCGGGGTTCGTCTCATCGTAGTCCTCGTCGTAGAACGGACCTATATGCCACTCATGCATATAGTTCTCGGCCTCCACCCAGGTATCGAATATCATTCCTCGTATTCCTGAGCGATACAATCGGCTCAGGATGCGTGCGTACCTATCCGGTAGATCCCCGGAAGTCGGCCTCGGCTACGGCGTAATATGAGCCGTCGGGTAGGGTGATGATCGAGGTGTCGGCGACGACGAGAAGCGCGCCGACGAAGGGAGTAGGTTCAGCAAGATTATTCTCGTCGGTTTCTTCGGCGAGTTGTCGTGCTCCTCGTTGAGCAGCATTGGTAAGCCGGACGAGGTGCGACTCGGAAAGGATATCGGCGGCGAGGATCTCGGAGAGACGTCGACCGTGCGTCGTCGCTGGTCCCACCTGGGGACATGCGCGGTTCGTATGGCCTGGGCCGTACGTCGGCACTTGGGACAGGTATACAGAAACATCGAGGATTCGATGTCGCTGCTCGTTGTTGCACCCCAGGAAGCACACGGTTCTATTGTCGATGAGGGCTCGTGCTGCTTCGGGGACGAGGTCGTCACGGGTCGCGTCCCTTCCGGGGTACACAAGGTTCGTGGGGTCACGTGCGTCAGGATCGTTGTGTGCGAGGAGCTCCGGGAAACGTGTGTGCTCCAACGTTTCAAGAGCCGCGGTGAGCGCACCGACGGCGTCTCGCTCGTACGCTAAGAACTCGGCCACGATGTCCTGACGTAGATGTCTCCTCATCGTGACCTCGGTTATGGCGTCGTACACGCCGACCAATGCGTCGAGGGATCGTGCTGTTCCTCGTTCGTGAGGGGAATTTCGACAGGGGGTAGCGAGGTGATGAGCTGCGCGTCAGGGTCGAGGAAAGGTGCTGGACCATCCTCCAATTTACGCGGGTATCGGGGGCTTCCTGCAATTCGGGTCGTTCAGAGAAGAGTCGACGAGTTTCAGCGAGGAGGGGAGTAGGGAGAATGGGAGAGGGAGTGCGGGCGATGGCAAAGCGAGACATGTCGAGTGGAACGAAGAGACAATGAAGGTTCAGAGGACTGGAAGTAGGTTATCGTCTTCGTGGTTGAAGTCGATGCGGACGACTCCAATGCGATGCTTTGTCTTATACTCCAAGAGGAGTCATCTGATGTTCCGGTTAGGTTCCGTTCCGGTATCCATTCGTTGGCTGACGAAGGATAACCGCGCCATGACACATAGTACTGCTCCGACTGGAACTTCCTCGGTGATTGATGATTTGCTCCACTTCGTATTCTTCTTCTCCGTCGATAAGGTCAGGTGGTGGCATCGTGTGATTGGGACCGTGAGTGTCCGTCGTTCTATATGGGGAAAGAAGACCGGCGTGGAAGACGGGATGGATTCGCCATTGCTTCGGGAGCGCCAATCTGTAACTCCGCGTCCCATGACTTCTGTGATTGCAAATGGTCCTTCCCGTTTAGGCGATAGTTTCCGTGATGGATAAGGGAGATGAAGGTTCTTCGAGTCTACCAGACCTTCTGTCCTTTCTGAAACGTCGGCGATCCCTTGCGGATACGGTCTTCTACCATGCGTTGTGCGAGTCCATCGTAGCTTCGGCTCTTTCCGAACTTGTTGCAGGTTGTTGAGTCGTTCTTCTACTGAGGGAATGTTCGTGGGTTCGTGAACGGCTGGGATGGAGCGAGGTTCGTATCCCATCATTGCGTAGAACGGGGACATCTTGATCGTAGAATGCTTCCTAGAGTTATGTGCAAACTCGGTGTCGGGAAGCATTGATGCCCAGGTTTCAGGATTGTTCGCGCAGAGGATACGAAGGTAGACCTCGAGTTCTTGTTTGCTCGTTCCGTTTGTCCGTCCGTCTGGGGATGGTACGCCGTAGAGATTCGTTGGTCAATCTGGAGGATTTTGCACAGTTCTCGCATGACTCTAGACGCAACTGGGGTCCTCGGTCAGAGATCATGTGATCAGGGAGTCCAAATCGTCGGTAAACCGTGTCGTGTAGCATGCGAGCAGTGTCTGCGGCGTCTTCAGATTCGGTGCAAGGCGTATAAATTACCCCCTTCGTAGAGTCGTGGTCCACAACGACTAAGCAAGAGTCGTACCCTCCGGAGTGGGCGGAGGTGCGTGATGTAGTCCATTGTAATGTCGACATAGGGCGGGTGGGAAGCGAAGCGGGGATAGGGTAGAGCGGGACCTTCGTGGGATGCGTGTTCGGTTTCATCTGCTGGCAGGGTGCGCATCCTTTGACGTATTCCGAGATCGAGTGTGTCATTCCAGGCCACCAGTAGCCTCGTTGTACGAGAACTTTGGTGCCGTCAATACCGGGGTGTCCTGCTGCCGGAAGATCGTGGTGCAAACGAATGATGTGTCTTCGTAGATTTTCATCCGGAGGAACGTATACTTTGCCCCGATACCAGACAAGTTGTCCATCAGTTGCCCAATCTTCGAGTGACGTGCGCGCGGGCGGTGGTCCCTTTCCGAGGAGCACATCAAGTGCCTCCCGAATCATGGGGTCTACGTCGTGGGCGGCGGTGATCTGGTCCTTCAGTGTGATATTGACGGCTCGAGCGAAGACGGAGGATGGTAGCATGACCAGTTCATCATTGTCTTCAGATCCGTCGTCGTGATCGTGTCGTCGTGAAAGAGCATCTGCAACAGTCATCTGAGATCCTGGGACGTGTTGCAGTTCGTAGTCGTATTCGGAAAGTTGAAGGAGCCATCGTGCCTGTCGTCGATTAAGCTTTTGGGCTTTCTTCCAGTACGTGAGGTTGCGATGATCGGATCGAATGGCCAACGTGTGTGGGGAACCGAGCAAGTACTGCTGCCATGCGTCAAGACCGCGTATGATCGCTAGCAGTTCGCGGTCATAGATTTCGTAGTTCCGTTCGGCGGGGTTCAAGGATTGCGAAAAGAAACTGCACGGGTGTAGTTCATCATTGGCGTCCTTTTGCAATAATGCACCGCCGACTGCAAACTTCGAGGAATCACATTCGAGAATGAACGGTTTGGCTTCGTCTGGCATGATGAGGACCGGAGCTTTGGTAAACTCATCTTTCAGGTCCTCGAAGGCTGTCTGTTGTTCCGCGTTCCAGTGCCAGGTGACGTTCTTCTTAGTGAGATTGACGAGCGGGTGTACTCGGTCAGAGAAGTGGTGGATAAACTTCCTGTAAAAGTTGGCAAATCCGACGAAGGATCGTACATGTTTGACACATGTCGGGACGGGCCAGTGCGTGATGCCGTTAACTTTGATCGGGTCCATGCCTATGTGTCCGGGTCGGATGATCATGCCTAAGAATTCCACTTCTTCTACGTCGAAGAAACATTTCT